CTGGTGACACACCAGAGGACTCACACAGGAGAGAAACCCTTTGAATGTCCTGATTGTGGGAAAAGTTTTAGTCTGAGTTCCAGCCTGGTGACACACCAGAGGACTCACACAGGAGAGAAACCCTTTGAATGTCCTGATTGTGGGAGAGGTATCAGTAAGTATTCCTACCTAATGATACACCAGAGGACTCACACCGTGGAGAAATCTTTGAAATTTCCAATCTGCAGTCATTACTTCAAGCATAAATCATCCCTTATTGCACACAAGTTAGTCCATATGAGGAAAGGTAGATGAGTTTAGAAAATGCTTGAATTTCATTTGTGGTCTCCCATTGAAGGTTTAGGTGAGAAATTGATTGTTTGAATTTAGCCTGATTCATTTTGCTCAAACATTTCTCAGGATTAAATTTGTAAGTGGAGTGAAAAGGAAAATGGAAAATGGCTAACTACTAGTTTCTGGTTATCAGCGAAGCTTCTAGATATTTCCTTTTCCAAAAGTAGAGGATTTCCTCAAAAAGGAATTTTGGGTGGAGCTTTTGTCTGTTTATTATGGAATTCCCACATGTGGAGTTTCAGTCTTCTATCTTGTTTCACCCGATTTTGAGCCCCAGAATTCCACAGCACGCATAAAAGTAATCCTCAAGATATAACTATTATGGGCCTTGAATTAAGGTTGCAGGTTGCAATGTCTGTTAAGTGAAATTGCTTTCCTTAACTACCCGGATCCCCCTGCTCTCCCTAATGCAGCCATTAATCAAATGTGTGATCACTAAGCAGAACACTGTCTACTCAGAGCTGGGAAAAACTCTTTGTAGGCCTAGCACAGGGCTAGGCCTGCCTGCCGTAGGCATCTCTAGGCCTCCCTCACCCTCCAAGACCTCCTTTTGTTTTGTTTCTTAACCCTTGAGTCCCCTTGGCCCTTCACTCCGTCCCCCAGGGTTCCCTTACACCTAGCTCCTACCCCACTGGACCTCACACCCTCCTTTTTACCTTTTGAAGATCTCTGAACTGGGAAGGGAGGGAAGGAAATGTATCAGTGATGGCTAATGTTTTTTTGGATCCTGTGCCAAAAGCAGGGGGGAGCACAGGGGAATCATGCGCGGGCATGCCCACACCCATAATGCTATGCAAGCGACCCCAGCACGCATGTGTGCGTGACCAGCGCTCCCCCTGCTTTTGGTACCCATTTTTTGCCCTCCCTAGGCTCCAGAGGCTTTCTAAGAGCCGGGGGAGGACGAAAACAGGCTCCCCCCCCCCCACAGCGGCCCTCCAGAGGCTTTAGGAGCATCCTGAAGCCTCCGGTGTGTGAAAACCGGCCCTACGGGCAACCCAGAACTTCAGGAACTGTGACTTCCAGTTTGGTCATAGGACCTTTTTTTGCCCTCCGGAGCCCTCAGGGAAGCTTCTTGAAGGCTCTGGAAGGTGAAAAACAGCCCTAGGAGCAAACCAGAAGTCTGTTCCTGAACTTCTGGTTTTCCTGTAGGGCAGGTTTCTCTCGCTCCGGAGGCTTCAATGAAACGGCCTTAAAAGAAGGCCAAAGTCAGCTGACCAGCCCACGCGTGTGCACTGGAGCTGACAGGGCAACGCCTCACATGACCTAACAAATAGGTTCGCCATCACGGATATATATCATTGGGCCTCATGACTTTGTCCTGGAAGCAGCCACCATTTACAGTTGGCCCTGGATTGATCCCTGGTGTGAACTCTGTTAACGGCGCAACAGGCCACATGGCGTCCTGAGGCAAGCGTCAGCATAACATACGCATACTTGACTCACATTCTTCTCTGCTTTCTCAGAAGGGAGCCAAGAGTGAAAGAAAATGCAGTCAAGTGGAAATGGTTGGAGTGCACTTAGAGGAGTTTAGCCAAAAGGAAAAGGGTAGCTGATGGGAGCTTTTTAAAACATTATTTCCTCAATGTGTCAGGGCATGGACCGCAAAGGTCCTAAAACAAAGCGGATAAGACATCCACCGAAACTAAGACTTGATGCTTATTTTGGGGCCTAAAAGAAAATAAAACTGGGTCTTATTTTGGGGAAAACAAGGCTATGTATATATGTATAATCTGTCCCAGCACTTCGAAGTATATTTAATGATAACTCTGCAATTCTATGAACTCATGATTGACCCAAGTCAAGAAATAAATTTCATAACTGAATGGGTATTTGACATGTATATTGAAAATGTAAATAATTAATGTAAGGGGTTACGTTACCATTTTGGCATCTTTGCCTTTTATTGTAATGGATGCCTTTGGATCTCTTTTTTTAAAAAAAGAGA